TTCGGGACAGAGTGTAAAGATGATCAGAACACTACAATAAAAAACAAAAAACAAATGAACACTTTTTTTAAGTATTTCACACCAAACAAGGCGGGAGTTCCACTAGCATCCGAGGGGTTACAGAGATTGGGAGCAAGAGTAAAGAGGCATGATAGAGGAAAGGATGAAGAGAAGGACAGGGAATAGATCAAGGCATCTAGAGATGTTGATTGATATTGCATTTGAATAGTTGGAGATTATAGCTATCAGAGAAGCCAGTAAGAGGAAGGGAGTTCCACAGACAGGAGGTGCGAGACATGAAGCTATTGGAGTAGAAGAAACGGCTATATTTAACCGTTTCGACAGTGAAAGGGTGGGACTGAGATGCCGACCTAGTGGCACGTTTAAATTCATGCAGTTTGGCAACTAGCCAAAATAGCTCGTCGCAGCAGTTACCGTGAAAATATTTATAGAAAAGACAGAGGGAGGTGACGGCACGTCTGTGAGGGAGCGAGTGTAAACGAGATGCTACACTACATATCCGTCTCTGGATTTTTTCGAGGACCCTGAGTCGGACAGCGGGGGCTACAGATCATATATGACAGCAATTTTCCATGCAAGGGCGAATGGATAACAAAATTAAAAGCAAAATGACTGAAATATTGCAATAAAAACAAAAGTACCCGAAGAATTAAATACAATCACCTGAATATTGCAATAAAATCAAACATTACGATAAAAAGCAAAATGACCTGAACATTTCAATTAAAAGTAATATGACAATTGAAAGCAAAATGAACTGAGCTTTGTAATAAAATGCAAAATGACCTGAATAACACAATAAGAAGACAAATAAGCTGAAAAATTAACTAAGAAGCAAAATCGGCTGTGAATAGCAATAATAAGCAAAATGACCTGAATAAAGCAACAAAATGCAAAATGATCTGAACATTACAGTAAAACATAATATGAACTGAACATTGCAATATAATGCAAAATGATCTGAATAATAAATACAAAATGACCTGAATATTACAATAAAAAGCAAAATGACTTCAACACTGCGATAAAAAGCAACAAAACTAGCAGGAAAAAAAACTAAGGAAAAAAAAAATCAATGCCATGAATCATCTAAATAAGCACCACTTAAGATTATCGAGGTGACCAACTCGAGTTTGATAACCGAAAGGAAAATAAAGAAAAACTACTTTATTTGTTTGTTTTATCCACTTGTACCATAAACTATTCTAAGGGAATTCCTCTTATGTAATTTTTACTTACGCAATTTCTTTAAACCACTTCCAGCTTCCTACGTCTGTCGATTCTTTATCAAAACCCAGTCTACATTACATTTCTGGAACTGATAAGCATTGCTATCAACTTGTCTAGTGCTTGGTTATATTAATAGGAAGTCAATGTTGACATCCAACCTCAAGTTGTCCTTCTCCTAGACTAGTTGCCAAGCATAGTTATAGAAAGTCTTCTCTGATATTTTACACAGCAATTCTGCAATTTGTTATTAATCACCTTCTTTCATTCATGTCAAACATCTCATAAATTACAACAATTTTAAGAAACCTGTATTAGGTGAATTTAAGTTTTAAAAAAAAAAGAAAAAAGTATTTAAGTATTAAAAAAAAATTAAAAAACACGCAACTCCGAAAAAACGTAACCAAAAGCCGGGTTAAAATTCACCAATGATAATCCATCTTTGATAAATTCGCGTAAGGCTAAAATTTGTCTACGTGCCACAACCTTGCATCAGTAGAAAACAGCCCGGACCATACTGCTAATTTTCATTTTTCAATTTTTCACTAACCCCGATAGGTTGCCCAATGCCCATAGACGTACATAAGGGCTCCAGGTAAAAGTTGCGCAGTACCAAGACCCACACTGGCACCCGTCTTTCATTTCTGTTCGATGGTTGATGTGCTACCGTAGAATAGGATTCCCAAACACAAAGCATTTCTGTGATTTGTCCGAAAGCAAACACATGACAGAAGAATAGATACTACACTTTGATCCCAGCCCGAAAGTCGAGAACAATAGAGATAACTTTAGCGTTATTTACCTGACCTCCCCACTAAGATAAGATATGACAATGTCTTTTTTTTACGTGGAGTGCACATAGACAAGATTATGCATACGGGCCAAGGAGAAACATTACCCAGTCCCCTGTCATGCTGAAGTCGATATTTTACCGACTACACCTCTCTTAGTGCAATTAGGAAGTGATGCCGCAAGGTTGGAATACCCGGAACCGGACGCCCTCTCCCATCTATAATTAACGAGGCCCAGAAACTAACAAATGCCGTTTACAATATAAGCGGTAATATTTAATTTACATGAGAATCTTTAAAAGCTTATGTTAATAAATATTTAATCTGCCATTTATTTTTTTTATTCAAATTTTTAAAATAGCCACATATAAACAACGTTTCTGTCGAGAAAATTATATTTTTTAATGTATCGCATTTGTATAGAAAGAACTAGCAGCATGGCCCGGCGTTTCCCCGGGCTTGATTCAAAAAATCGTACGACTCATACAGCAATCGCTATCACTTGATTTAAAATATTTTTGCCCTTCTTTGCCTTTAAAGGAGTGCCCTTTGCCGTGCTGATGTTGCTACATGCCTTACTTCTTGCCTATCTCACACTGCGAATTTTTTCTAAGCTCTATACTAAACATTAAATCTGTTACGAAAAAAGAACTAAACAAAATGAACACAAAACGATCAGCTTTAAAAAAAGGACTCGCAACTGGAAAAACCGAATGAAAAAAGAATGTTAACAACAAATACTTTTTCACACCCAACCCAGTTCTGCGGAATCAGAATTAACGTTGAGTTTAAGCAAGCGAATGAGCCAATTGGATTAAAGTGGCATGCAGATTTAAATTTTTCCTACTTGTGACGAATGCAGCTATCGATTATTTTTTGCATGCTAGCATGCTAGTTAACATTCGTATCAGTCAGCTTTTTCCGTTAGTTTGTACGACCGTTATATCCTGTCAATAGCTCATTCCGTTTTGATCGCATGGAAAGAGGGAAAAAAGACGCTACTTGGTTTCAGCAAAAGAAAGAAAGAAAGAGAGAAAGAAAGATATAAGTGTTTAACATCTCCTGTCAATGCCTCATTAATAATGGGCTATTCCGCTTTGATCGCGTGGAAAGAGGTGAAAAGGCACTACTTGGTTTCAAAGAAAGAAAGAAAGAAAAAGAAAAAAAGAAAGAAAAAAAGAATTTAACATCTCCGGTCAATGCCTCATAAATAATGGATTATTCCGTTTTGATCACGTGGATAGAGGGGAAAAGACACTACTCGGTTTCAGTGAGAAAATGAATGAAAGAAAGAAAGGAAGAAGAGTTTAACATCTCCTGTCAATACCTCATAATTAATGGACTATTCCGTTTTGAAATGGAAAAGAATTGTCAATTTCAAATCCTTTCATTTTCACCCACTTCTTAAAATAACGACCAGAAATTCTATTTATGATTCTTATTGCAATATTTTGTTAAAGTTGTTAAGCTAAAATATTTAACGATGCGATAAAGGAATTTCTATGAATATTTTATTGGCGTTTATTCAATCATTAACATAAGAATTAGGATTCATCAGAATATTAAAATAGAAAACCATGAAATTTTCATGGGTTAAAACTAGTGCATTATTATTATTACTTTTATTTTTATCTTTATTATTTAGTGGGATCGGCTGGTTCGTAGGGCTCAAAACTAAAAACAGGGTTCCCAGACCCAATGGAGTCACTGGGTCACGTGTTTTGGCAGAAGTCTCACGTTGTTTGTCCTTAGCAAATGAAACTGGGTGAGTCACAAGGCAAAAGCTAAAGCAGTGTTTCTGAAAGGAAAACACTGACAGCAACAGCACATCCACCCGGATATAGATACAGGTTACGCAGCAGGACGCAGGCAGAGGGTCAGAAGGAACCCACCCATACCTTTCTGAGCCGAGCGATATCAGCAGCAGCAGCAGCAGCTTATAGAGAACGGGACAGCAAGAAATCTAGGTGTCTACTCTTAGTTTTGAACTTTGATGGCTGAACTTAACAGTATCAAGTTGAACTGAGAAAACGAAATTACTGCAACTACTTAAAAGAAAATAACTCGAGAAAAACGATAATACCTGCCGGGGTATAAGAAATGACTCAGGATGCACTGGAGTCGTGGGCAGGGAGTCTCTAAATCAGCGTTTCTCAACCTTTTTATCCTTCCGTAAGCCTTAAAATAAATTACATGTCTCAAGGAACCCCTGCGCAAAAACAAAATTATATCTTTCTCATTTTATTTTCATCGTAGTTCATGTGGTAAATATCATTGTAGATATTTTTGAATAACTCGTTTAAGAAAAAAATTAATACTACTTTGTCAAATTTTTAGGTAATGCTAAATAAAATTCATTCTGTTCGTTTATAATACTTCAGCAGGGAGTTTTCATTTACAAAAAAAAAAACATTCTAAACTCAAATGTAAAAAAAAATAAACATAAGTAACCAATATCATATACCTATAATATAAATGTCAACAGAACGAAAACAGACAATTGCTGCATCATTTTTAATTTTTATCCTTTACTGGCAATGTTGAAAAGACATAATGTAAATGTCCTATTACAATATTACAGTTACCAAGTATATATTGTGTGTGCTTAGTATTATTATGTATATGAAATTAAATAAAAAGTCAAAAGTGCATTAGCTTATCTCACCTGTTCTTGCGGAACCCTTGAGGACCTTTTGCGGAACCTTAGGGTTTCGGAGTAACCCCGGTTGAGAAAGGCTACTCTAAATATTCTTCTTCTCCTTCTTCTTCTCCTCCTCCTCCTCCTCCTTCTTCTTCTTCCTCCTCCTCTTCTTCTTCTTCTTCTTCTTCCTTCCTCCTCCTCCTCCTCCTTCTTCTTCTTCTTCTTCTTCTTCTTCTTCTTCTTCTTCTTCTTCTTCTTCTTCTTCTTCCCGTGTCCATTCATTGGCGATCTTTGCTTTCCACAATTTCCTGGGCATCACGTTTAAACACCGGTTCCCGTAAGATCACTGAAGTTAAACAACGTTGAACATGGCCAGTACCTAGATAGGTGACCGCTTGGAAATACCAGGTGTCATAAGCTTGGATGTGCGGGTGGTGTAATGGATATTAGCTCGGAATTGTTCATCGGAGAACCGAGTTCCAGTTCCCATTGGATTCGTTATATGCACTTACGCTCAGCTATCCCTAAGCAATTATTATCTCCGAAATTCTTACAATCTAAAGATATTTTCTGTCTTTAAATAACCTGCAAAGGGTTGATAAACCGTAGGAAATGAATCAATCATTTTGTTCTTTTAGTACTTTTCAGTTATTACTCGCTCCGTTTCCACTAAGTCGGTACTACCCAGTACTAAGTCGCACTTTCCGTCATCTGTTAAAACATTTCCTGGATATTTAAATTAAATTTAGAGGTTTACTTGAATTATGATATAAAGTAGTATCATTAGTAATGTTTTTCTATCGACGTATCGTGTATAGGGACGAATTTATGATTTTAAAAAATAAGGATCCAAATAGGATAATTTATGGCGGATACTGGTGTGGATCAATATCTTGGCGGGAATTATTGTTTTTAAGATTAATTTACGATTGAAACATTCTCTGTTCTTATTATCTATAAATGCTTTTTGCATCGAGATTGTTACAAAGAATTCAGGTTTACAGATATATCATGCAGAAAACCCACTTCCCATACGATCACCAAAGTTAAGCAACGTCGAGCCTGGTCAGTAACTAGATGGGCAATCCCATGGTAATGCCAGGTGATGTAAGCTAGGATGTGCGTGTGATGTAATGACTTATAGACCGGAATTGTTTATTAGAGAGCCGAGTTCCAATTCCCATTGGAGCCGTTATATTCACTTACACGCAAATACCATTTTTGCCTTATCACCTATAGTAAATTCCATTCAAATATCACGACGTATGGGTCGGTTATAACAAATTTATATAGTTGATAGGAAAATTGAATACATTATTATTATAATATATATTATAATATATTATATTTATTAATATTATAATATAACATATCTATTAATATAATCTTATATATAAAGTACAGTGTATGTGTGTGTGTTTGTACGTGTGTGTGTCCAAACAACTCCTCCGCTCCCACTGGTCCAATTTCAATGATTCATTGCTCATTCAAAAGCCCTAGAAAAGTTAGACGCAGAGAACAATTTTCGTTGAGATCTGATTCAGGGTTGCCAGATTATGCGAAGTTCAAAATATATATTAATATATTATACTAGCCATTACCGTTGCTTTCATGCGTCAAGGGGAATAACACTTATTTTCCTTTTGCATCTAAAATTGCAGCTAGCTTAAAAGCCGACCTATCGGGTGGCATTTAAGATAGCTCCTGTGGAGAGCTCTTGGTTTGGCCATCATTAGAATAGCTAGGGAGGAGTAGATGCGATAGACATCAATAAACTACAGAAGAACTCAAAATTGATCGCTACATTTAAGTACTGAATTAATGTTTAATCTTTTAAATGTTCAAAGATAATTCTTCTGCTGTCTCTAAATTTAAAGATGATTTGATGTACGTAGATCATCATTTTCCGTACAATTATTTTTATTTCATGGGTGACAGAAGAGGGGACATTTTATAAGATAAAATTAAAATAGTGTAAAGATAGGAAAATAGAAGTTGGAATTAGTTAAACATTCAGCATTTGAAGAGTTAAAGAAACATAATAGCTAATTAAGTAAAAACTGTATTATGGAATCTATATGTATAAATGCGAAATCAGAGGTCAATTCTCCCACGAATTCTGAGATTAAAAACACCAGCTCAACTTTACAATATCTGTATTATATATTATCTACTTCTAGGCAATATCACGCTTAAGGTTTAACTAATTTGCATATTGATTTTTAAACAAGTTTATTTCATTAATTAACTGTCCTTCATTACTGTCCTTATTCGAGGATTGTTTTGACTTTCATATAAAAAATAGTTCTGTTTAAGAATATCGTCTTATATAGTACAGAAAAGTGTTTGAAATTTGCATTTTACTTGGCCTTCAACAATTTAGCATCTGTATAACTCTCCTTAAATATAACAAGCCAATTTATGAATGAAATGTTCATTTAAAATGCTTGTCTCAAAGATTTCAAGTATTGAATATATCTTACTTTGCGAAACGATAGCGAGCAGGCGAAGCCTGCTAGTATATTATAATATATATTATTTATATAATGTGCTAAATTTCCTTATAATCTATATACATTTGTTATAACTGATCCATACTACGTAATATTTGAATTGTTTGGTATTTACTAATTCCACATCCTGAATTTTTATGATGGATTCTGGGAAGGTGCTATCATTGCTTTCATTCCAATTCCAGATTATTGTATCCGTTTCGGAATAGTTTAAATTGAGTCATGTTTCATGTTTCTTGAAACACTTGGTAGATGTTGATTTTTTTTTTTATTATTATTGAAGATTATTCTGATCCCAACTATGACTATATATACTCCGTCTCATCATCAGTACATAGGCCTCGGGGGAAGCACGATCATTGTCTTCTATTAGTTGATTTATTTGGGATGTTGCATGGAGTGCTAAAATGATCAATGTCCATGTCTTCCGATCTATGCTTGTAAACGTTGCAGGGAATAAAAGAGATTAAATAGACTTTGGCTATCATTTCCTCTTTGTCGTATTCCTGCTGAGGTTTGAAATGTTTCCGTATTGGGATCCGCGTTTGACATAAGAATTTGAGGAGCGATGAAGTTCCTTTAATCGGTCGATGCATTCAGTGGATTCGGTGTTCGGAAATCAGTTTCTAGTTGATGAAAAGAGTAATTCTCAACTGTTTCTGTGATGTCGACATAGCAGGTATGCAATTTCTTTTTAGCAAGATATACAATTTCCTGTAATTGTTTGATGCCAGATATGACGTCACTTAACTTACCAGAACAAAAAACAAACTGACTTCTGATGAGTTGACTTTCACAAAACGATGAGTGACAGGTTAATATAATGGTCATTAATACTTTAGCCATGATGTCTTCAATTGAGATACCTCTCCATAAGTGTGGGCATTTGAGGGCTGACTTTTTGTTTCTATAGTGAATTAATGTGTGATCAACCGCACTTTTGCGGGATGCATTTCTGATTCCAGACTTCCTTCATAAAATTATGGGTCTGGGCACTTCGGCGTGGTATAATGGTTAACAATCAGGTCTCGCTACATCAATTACGACTGAGTAGTGATTTCAGTCCTCAGCGGGTGCTCCACACTTTCGGTCTTGTGTCACATCTAATCTAGGCTTAGAAAAGGACCATAAAATTGAGAATCTTATTAAATTCAGGGAGAAAGTAAACCATTTTCAAAAGTTCAATCACAATATCATTCCTCAATTGTTTTTGTTTTTTTAATAGCTTTCTAAATTTCTTTATCGGTAGGTTAATTATTGCTTATGTTTCTAGATTAACTTTGTAAGGACTGAATGTATATTGGTATAAATCTTTAATACTGCAATATTGCATGTAAATTTAGGTTAGGTAACTTGTAGGATAATGCTTAACCAGATATCGTTGACTACTAGTAATTATACCTAGCCAAATTCCATAACACTGTAATATTAAATGTAAATTTAGGTCTGGTAAACCAATGCTTACTAAGATATCGTTGACTTTACTAACGTAATTATACTTAAGCAAACACCATAACATTATAATATTAAATGTAAAAAGTTTTCTCATTTGTAAAGTTGAGTTATCTAGTTGCCAAGTAGTACTTGTCTCCACCCTCAATCCATCATAATATAATATGAAATGTAAATGAAAGGTTTTAAATGAAGTATCTGTTAAGCTAATGCTTACTCCAATCACATCCGTTACCAGTAGTACAATTTAAATGGTGTTTCCTGTTATACGAAGTACATGTGTTGCAACCTAGGGAAGGTTACTGAATAGAATAATCAAATAAAGGTTAGTAATGAACGATAATACTTAGGACAAGAACAACACATATAAGATTCGCCAGCGGCGCGTAGAAGTAGTAGTCAACTTCTAGAAGTGAGTCAGATGAATTCTACAATGAATCTCCAACTGCACGATATATACCAACCGCCCCACGCGTTCAGGTGTGGCACAAGGTCGAATTAAAATGTGGGGTATCCGATCCTGTAGGCTTGGCCAAAACTTCCCCGTAGATATCGCATAAAACGAGGTCGGGTAGCTGTTTTCTGGGACGAGACTCTGTCCTTCAACATAGTCTCGTCTGAGGATCTTCTCTGCCCGAAGGCAGAAACTTTGAGTAGCACAGCTGGAGACGAATCTCCAACTGCCAGACATCTACATCTACGCGGTCGGATGTGGCACCAGGCCGAATTTAATGTTGGGTATCGGCCAAAACTTCCCCGTAGACCACGTATAAGAAGAGGTCGGGTAGCTGTTTCCCGAGACGAGACTCTGTCCTTCGACAGAGCCTCGTCTGGGGTTCCTTTCTGCCCGGAGGGAGAGAGTTTGACCAGCACAGCTGGAGACGAATATCCAACAGAAGACCAACACACAGTATTTACTACTGTATTTATGTGAATGGGGACATACCCATTATCGTCCGTAGGTATGCTACATGTTATATCGGAGTTCACGTTATTTTTTTTCTGCTGTCCTCTATACCTTTAAATACGCTAAATTCTTTTTCTTAATATTCCCTGTGGCACCTTATATGACCCTGGGTCTTATATATCCGTATTTTTTATGCATCATCAAATACGATCGTCTTTCTCATCTCATTGATTTTTGATTTGTTTTTTTTTTTTATCACGGCGTTCTCCGTTGATAAATTCTTTAAACGTCGAAGTGTGTCAGTTGAATTTGTTGATAAAGAGACGATAATTAGTCGTCAAAAGTTAATAAAGGAAATGCTTTATCTCAGGACTTTCGAAAACAGAAACGTACTTTTAAAATGATGACAGCAAAACATTAGAAACCTTATTCTCTTCTCGCCTATTATGCAAACGATTTGTATGAATTCTCAGCTCCGGTGTTAGGGACTTTAAGGACGCAGCTGTTGTGAAGTGCTTTTCTAATGAACAGCATGCATTCCTA